TTTTAATTGGTTGCATGGTGGCTGGTGAACTGATGACAGTGGCAATATCGTAAATATTTGATGAAGATGAGGATAATAGAGTAAACATTCATTTAAAAAATAAATACTAATAATGGCCTTTTCGTGAATAATCCAAACTATTGGGGTGAATATGGCAAATGAAAGTTCAAAAATTTTATGGGTTAGTTTTGTATTTGACTTTTTGCTTTGAGTCATTTTTGCAAAAAAAACTCATATTATAATTAGATTTTAAACATATCTTATTTTATATATATATATATATATATATATATATACGGTTCAAAAATTATAGAGGATATATTAGTTCAAAATGTTATTAATATATGATAAATTTCTTCGGATATCCTTTTTAAGTTTATTTTCACAAAAGTAGTCTTGAATGAGGAAAATGAACAAAATAAGTTCTTATTAAAGGGTAAATATGTAGTTATATCCTTGTGTTAACTAATCTAAATTAAGGTTTAGAGTTAAAAGGTGGGGTTTTGGGTTTAGGTTTCAAAATTTAAAAAGTATAAAATAAATATTACAAATTTCAAATAAAGAAAACTATTGTGGCCATTTTATTTTTGAGAGCTATTTTATGACAAAAATTTAAAAAGAGCTATTTGAGAGAATTATCTTTAGGATAAATTATGATAATGGTCAATAAATAAAATTTGTTTAAATTTTGTGATAATAATGTGTGAACTTACCATAATTATTAATTATGAAATAAACACATTACAAAACATACCAAAATAAATGAATATAGAAACAAAAATTAAAACAACAAACACAAAAAATAGCATGAAAAACAACATGTATTCACAATTTTCAAACCGAACCGGTCCTACATTTTTCAGAGTCATAAGCCCAAAACAAAAAACAATGGCTGAAAAATTTTAAATAAACAAACTAGATTTTGACCCGCGCTTGGGAAGCGTGGATTTTGGTTTCGCTGTAAAAAAATGTATCAAATGATTAGATTTGTATTATAAGATAGTTTTATATTTGAATGTGATGTATATTTAACCTTTTAGTTGAGTCTTTTCATTGAGTTATGCATAACCGAGTCAGTTTATGATGAACCGAGAATTCAAAAATTAAGTGTTGTGAGAGTATGAAGAATTAAAACACATATTAGATGGTCCATAAGACACAAAACTTGGATGGATCTGATGACCATAAAAATCCCAAAATTGAAAAGGCCCAAAATTGTATGACAAATTTGTAGTTAAATCCAATAAAAATGAGCATCAGATTTTTTCATGTAGAAAAGAATTCAAAAAGAGTAATTATTGTTTGACATGGATAAACACAATAAATATACGAAATCTTTATCTAAAAATATGGAAAACATGACCAAAATATCAAATCATTAGAGGAACATGATGACGAAGACTCGTCGAGTTGACATCACCAGAACACCTCGGGGTAGGGATACAAGAGGAGACGGCAGTCGGAGGACCTGCGGGAGCTGCTCGTGGCTTGGGCATGGAAAAAGGTTGGCTTCTTCCGGTTCTGGTCCTAAGATAATCATTGTATATCGACTGAACAGGAGCTTTAAGAACCTCACCTAAAACCAAAACACGACAGAGTAAAGGACATGAATCGCAAGAAGTCAATAAAGCTAGGAGATCTCTTACCCCAGACAAGACTGTGACGCAAAGCAGCCGGACTCACTAAAAAGGAGATCCATGGAAACCGCTTTGGGATTCTCAGAGCCAGCTTCGCCGAAACTTCACCAGCAAAATCCACAGGCCTTGCCACCTCTGCAAAATCAGGAAACACAGTGAGAAGGTGACAAAAGAAAACCGCTCAAAATATAACCAGAAACTAACCAACGGAGCGCCAAAACAGTGGGTAGCCGGGGGATCCATCGATCTTCATGAACATGTACCTCTTATCCCACGAATCGCTAAAAGGAAAGCTGCTGCGAACGCCGCGCGAAGGTTCATTTCCTAAAGCTTCTCCTTCTCGGGACCATATTTCGTACATCTCCTTCCCATTTTGCAAGGGGACGAAGCTGTAGGAATACAAGACTTCAGACATCCCTAGTGGAATACCATAAAGCTCCCCCAACACATGAACAGCAATCAGTGTACGCCATGATGGCGAAGTCAGCTGTGAAGGGGAAAAGCTTAAGTAAGACGACACCTCCGCTATCAAGGAAGGAACACTGCCCTTAAAGCCAGCCTCCAGATAAGCCTCATAGATGGCTATCTCACCAATGCCACCATCCGATACAAGTTCAAATTCTCCGGCACATCTCAACCCCATCGAATCAGGAACGGAATATTTCCTACAGATCCTGGCCAAATCTTCCTCCCCAATATTGGAACAAGGGCCATCACCACCTACTTTATGAGGAAGGCAAAAAATTATGCGCAGTAGATGAGCCCGAGGCGTCACCACATCATCTACTCCAAGATCAGCTCTGGGGGACGTCACTGGAGAAGAAAACGAATCTGAAGAGACACAACGGGGCCTAACGTGCCCCCCGGCGCATGAAGATGAGAACAAAAAAATATTGCCTTGATTGTTCATCTTCTCAAGGCTGGAGGAAAGGCGTTTTAGGATCTCTAATAACACTTCTCAGCGAAAAGAAACGGTAATATATACCTAGGCCGGAAACCCTCGGCCGACACCAGAAAAGGAAAGAATGCTCCTTCATGAAAGCAGAAAATTCAGGAAAAGTGGAAAGAAAAGGAGGAAAAACGAGAAGCTTCCCGTTTTTCCACTTCAGCCAAAGAAGGAATAGCGGCGGACCAGGAAGATATTCCCGAATCAGCACAAATGGCTAGGGTTTCCCTAATCCTCCATTCGAAAAACATACCAGATCACAAGTCCACGTAATCGACCCCAAGAGGCTCAGGCCCTGAAGATATCTATTGAACGCCATTTTACCGAGGGGAATACGACTCACTCCAGGCCCTAAACACGGTCCCGGCTTAAATAAGGAACTTGAGAATAGGGCGCCTAGAGAGATGTCTTATTTAAGAAGAATCTGCTGAGATAAAGCGACTATGGTCCACCTAGACATATTTTATCTCTTGATTCCATCGATGAAATCAAGGAATAAGGGGCAACTGTTGGGAAAAAATATCCAGGCATCAGATTCCTCTAGCTTCCGGGCTGGGCACCGGCCTCTAGACCCTTGCTCCGAAGGGACCCAGGGCCCGGACCCTGCATCCCGGTTCCCCAGGACCGACCCCTGCTCGAAAAGCCGGTCCTTGGACAAAATGAAAGTTCTCCACTTAAGGAAATTCTTCCATATTCGCCAATATGGAAGGGTTTAACCTCATGCAACCCGACATCTACACCTATAAAAGGGGAACCCAAACCCTAGAATAAGGGATCGACACTTAGAGATTGAGAGACTAGATCTAGGCGGCTATGACTAGAGTTTATACACCATACGTTGTAGTCCATATTCGATTAACCTAATAATACGTCTCCTTCTCTATCACTTATCTTTGATTTCTCCTTACTTCATACAAAGATCCTTGCTTTCTATGTGTTCATACAAACCTCCTAGTGTTCCATAGTACTAAAACGACCCTACACAAAAATACCATAACAGTCTGCATGTTTGATATGTTGCTGAAGAAGGTTGCTGGCTCCATTAGCTATTGCAACGACGTCTGCAATGCCTTATCTAGAAACATGTAGGATTCTTCCATCCATAGCCCTTGCATAACCTTCTGGGTAGCGTTAAATGCCGAATTCATCCGGTTGAAGATAACTGTAATCACTTAGTAATGATGTTGTAACTGGTTCGGGCATTGTTGCATGCTTGGTGTCGATCAATGGTTGTACCATAAGGCTTCCGTACATCTGAAGTAATCAGCCTCTTCTGCTGTGAAACAGTAGTGTTCATGTTCATCTAGGTAAGCCTCTACGACGCGTGAATACGTTGTACGGTGCCTATATGCACACTTGCATAAAATATACTATCATGCATAAGAATATTGACAAAAAAATATCATGCAAAAGAATATTCTACTATAGCACTTTTTATTTTGAACTTTTCATCTTTTGTTTTAACAAAATCTTACAAAAACCTTTTGATTATTAATTTTAAACAATTCAATAATTCGTAATTATTATTACAAGATTAGAAATAAATATTTTTAAAAATTTAAATCAAAATAATAGTCGACAAAAAATCATGAACAAGAAATATTTTTAAAATATATTATTTTAATGTATAAAATTAAAATATAAAAAATAGAAAAAATTAATTTTTTTATCAATGAGAATTATAAAAAAACTCTGATTATTTTTATTAGAAAACATAAAAATTTAATGAAATGGATTAAATAGATAAATCATTCTATTTTGGTTCGTATGTATTTATATTTATTTTAAATTTAAGTAAACTACAAATAAATTATATATTAATATATGTTGTTTCATACAAAAACAAAATATGAAAAAAATTATAAATAATTTATAAATTAATAATATTGAACAATACATATTAAGTTACATGACATAAAATACCATATTGTAATAATATTTTTTATCAATTAAAAATTAAATATAAATAATTATAAAAACAAAAATTCATTTGCCCTTATGCGTGGGTTAAAATCTAGTAATTGTTACTATATGATATTTTTGGTGGGAAAATATATCAGTAACCCAATACCCTTTAAACATGTATAAATGATTTAATAGGTTAATTTGATTACCTTAATCATAAACTTAATTTATCTTGAAAAATGGTAATCTTCCTTACAAAAAATAGATAATAAAATAACAAAAAAAAAAAGTAAACAAATATTGAAGAGTAGTATTATTTTGCAGTTGCAAGTAAACTTAATTTTAAAAATATATACAAAATTTAGTTAAGATATTATTTTATTGATTTTATGTGTTCATCCTCTAGTATAGATAATAGAGCAAAACAAACTCTTATCATCCCAGTAAGATGATAACATAAGGAGAAGAGAGAGTCAATAACCGTCTCTTCATTTCTTCATCACTCCTCCACAATGGCCGGATCAGCTCTACCTCTCCCACCACCACCGCCACTTTCGTTCCACTCTCCGCCTCCAAACCAAACCCGCCACTCCTCCACATTCACCCCACCAAACCCAACTCCCCAAACACCTTCAATCCGTTCCCGCCTAAGCAGAATCTGCCAAGAAGGAAACCCACAACTCGCACGCCAACTGTTCGACGCAATTCCCAAACCAACCACCGTCCTCTGGAACACCATCATCATAGGCTTCATTTGCAACAACCTCCCACACGAGGCTCTCCTTTTCTACTCCCGGATGAAAAACACTGCTCCTTTCACCAAATGCGATGCGTACACTTACTCCTCCACGCTCAAGGCTTGTGCTGAGACCAAGAACTTGAAGGCTGGTAAAGCCGTGCATTGCCATTTGATCCGTTGTTTACAGAACTCAAGCAGGGTTGTTCATAACTCTCTGTTGAATATGTACGTTTCTTGCTTGAACCACCCTCCTGGAAGTGAGTACGATGTGGTGCGTAAGGTTTTCGATAACATGCGTAGGAAGAACGTTGTGGCGTGGAATACATTGGTTTCTTGGTATGTGAAGACAGAGAGACACGCAGAAGCGTGTAGGCAGTTCGCGATTATGATGAGGATGGAGATTAAACCGAGTCCGGTTAGCTTTGTGAATGTTTTCCCAGCAGTGGCTACTTCGAGAAGCATTAAGAAGGCTAACGTCTTTTATGGTCTGATGCTTAAACTGGGAGATGAATATGTGAAGGACTTGTTTGTGGTTAGCTCGGCTATTTCTATGTATGCAGAGCTTGGTGATATTGAAGCCTCACGGAGAGTGTTTGATTCTTGTGTAGAGAGGAACATTGAGGTGTGGAATACAATGATAGGCGTCTATATTCAGAATGATTATCTAGTTGAGAGTATAGATCTTTTTCTTGAAGCAATAGGATCGAAAGAGATTATGTCTGATGAAGTAACGTTTCTCTTGGCAGCGAGTGCTGTTTCAGGACTGCAGCAAGTGGAATTAGGTAGACAGTTTCATGGTTTTGTGAGCAAGAACTTTCAGGAGCTACCGGTTGTGATACTTAACTCGTTGATGGTGATGTACTCGAGATGTGGCTCTGTGCACGAGTCTTTTGCAGTCTTTGTATCAATGCGAGAGAGAGATGTTGTGTCGTGGAACACAATGATCTCTGCGTTTGTCCAAAACGGCTTAGATGATGAAGGGCTGATGTTAGTGTATGAAATGCAGAAGCAGGGGTTTAAGCTTGATTACATAACCGTGACTGCTTTGCTTTCGGCTGCATCTAATCTTAGAAACAAGGAGATTGGGAAGCAGACTCATGGTTTCCTTATTAGGCAAGGGATTCAGTTCGAGGGTATGAACAGTTACCTTATTGACATGTATGCGAAATCAGGTCTAATAAGGATCTCAGAAAAGCTTTTTGAGAGAAGTGGCTATGCTGAAAGAGATCAAGCTACTTGGAACTCTATGCTTTCCGGATACACACAGAATGGACACACAGAGGAAATGTTTGTTGTGTTCAGGAAGATGTTAGAACAGAATATCCAACCCAATGCCATAACTGTGGCGTCGATTCTCCCTGCGTGTAGCCAAATAGGTAGTTTCGACTTTGGTAAACAGCTCCATGGTTTCTCTATAAGGCAATACTTGGATCAGAATGTATTTGTTGCTTCTGCGTTAGTTGACATGTATTCAAAGTCGGGAGCTATAGAGTACGCAGAAAACATGTTTTCTCAAACAAAAGAGAGAAACTCTGTGACATACACAACGATGATATTGGGGTATGGTCAACATGGAATGGGTGAGAGAGCTATCTCGCTGTTTCGCTCAATGGAAAGGTCTGGAGTCAAACCAGATGCTGTCACCTTTGTTGCAGTGTTATCAGCTTGCAGCTATTCTGGTCTAGTGAATGAAGGTCTCAAAATATTCGAGGAAATGAGAGACGCTTATAACATTCAGCCTTCCAATGAGCATTATTGCTGCGTTACAGACATGTTAGGGAGAGTAGGGCGCGTTGGTGAAGCCTACGAGTTTGTTAAAGGGCTTGGTGAAGAAGGTAACATTGCTGAGCTATGGGGTTCTGTTCTTGGAGCTTGTAGACTACACGGTGAGATTGAGCTTGCTGAGATTGTTTCAGAGAAGTTAGCTAAAGTGGATAAAGGAAAGAACTTCTCAGGATATCATGTTCTACTCTCGAATATGTATGCTGAGGAACAGAATTGGACGAGTGTTGATAGGTTGAGGAGAGGAATGAGAGAAAAGGGTTTAAGGAAAGAAGTTGGTCGTAGTGACATTGAGGTTGCAGGTAATGTGAATTATTTTGTGTCTAGAGATCAAGAGCATCCTCAGGCTGATGAGATATATGATGTAATTGAGGGTTTGGCTAAAGATATGAGAGGCGATTCGTATCTGACAACATTCCCAACTGTTAGCTCAAGTTTGGACCTAGAGGAGTGAAGTAGAATGCTAGTGACTCTTTAGCTCGCACAAAATAAGGAGAGAAGATGTGTTGGAGATGATGCAAGGTGGGTAAGCACCCCCAAAACTCTCATTTGTTCTTTGCTTTCTGAAGCTTTTTGTTGGTAACATTGAAGCAACTCTCTATGGTCATAAGCATTGCAAGAGGAACGTTACTCAGCCAGACAGCAGACGAAGGTTCTAAACCACTGGAAGACAATTCAAGTGAGATTGTAGAACAATCATTATTTGTCTCACTTTGTGCACTTTGTTCTTTGTATACAGTACTACTACAAGCTGATCATCTCTTCACTTGTAGCGATGTCTATAAATAAATAAAACAACACCACTGAAGTTTCCTTTCTCTCGTCTTTCACTAGGCACCTTCTCTTGTAAACACTAATTTTTTTTTTTTTTAATTATTTGCACTTTCCATAATCCAAGATAAGCTAAACATAGAACTGGATTTAAACATGAAATTTCATAATTATAATTTGGGTAAAAGTGTTATTTCCTCACGAAAACTATCATATAGCATCAGATATCTATCGAACTATCCTCGTGCCATATTTCCCCGTATTATAAGTTATAAACTTATTTCACCCCGAATCGATAGTTCGGAATCTATTTCTCCTCAAACTAATAGTTTAGAAGTTAATTACACATAAAAATGATTTAACCAATTTAGTGTTAACCAAACAAAAATTCAATTTTCTTTTATTTCTAATTCAATGAAAACATATTTAAATTCATTAAATTTTCTTTTATTTCTAATTTTAAGAAAATATATCCAGAAAATTATTTCCAATCCAAAAACTGAACTTATTCTTTTTCTATTTTGGATTTAAAAATTATTTTTCAATTTGTAGTTTAGTTTAAACTAGTATTGACCCTATGCTTTGCATGGGAGAATTTTTTTTCTTACTAATACTGCCTCTGTTCCTAAAATATAAAGTTTCTAGTGTTTTCACACATATTAAGAAAACACATTAAATCACTATCGTTTTCAGTAATTTTCAATTTTCAACAACTTTAAGCCAATAGTAATCTAAGAAAACCAATTAATTTTTTTGAAACTTGTAATTTTCTCATAGAAAACATAGAATATACATCTTTTTGAAACAAAATATTTTTCCAGAACATGGATCTTTTAGAAACGGAAGGAGTATAATATACATGAATAGTTATAAGTATGAATAGATAGCTGTACAATAACTATAATAGTTTTTTGAAGTTTCAGATATTTTCATTCATTCTATAAAATTATATATCAAAAAAAAAATTCAAAAATTACTACAGAAAATAAAATATGATTAAAGATTCAATTGTCTAACTGCTTATTTTTCTACCAGTCAATAGGATGAAGTAGATTGAAAATAATTTCCTTTATTATTGTTTATTAATGTTAAATATTTGACAAAAAAAAATATCGTGTATTATAAAGACTGCAGTTATAAAGAAAAAAAAATAGAAAATTGGACAACTTTTAAATTTGTAAGTTGCTAGTTGGGCTACATCAAGTTTAAATTGGTAAGACAAACAATTAGTAGGAGAGAGAATATATATATATATATATATATATATATACCTATTTAATTTTTTTGCCCACTAAACTTAAATTTTTTGTGCACTAACTTTTGTGGACCCATAAACATTTTTTCCCACAAAGTTTAAGCAATGTTACTTTAATTAATATAAAATATACATTAATTATCTATGAATTATCTATGAATTAATAAAGAGTCAACATAAACTTCAACATTTATTAATTTTACCCAATAATTTAAGTTACACTTATGAAAGGAGTTTATTTTCTTATTTTTATTGTTCACATTTTAATTCACGACTCATCTTCAAAAACTAAACAACATGTACGTAATAGAAATAGGGAAAATTGCCAAATATAACTCAAAACTTGATTTGAAATGCAAAAATAAACCCAAACTTGAATCAAATGCAAAAATAACTTAAAAGGCTGTTGAAATTACAATCAACCCCTCGTGAACAAACAAAAAAAGAGTTTTTTTTTTTTACATTTCTAGCCCTCGCAAGTCGTCTGCCCAGACGACTTTAAACTAAGTCGTCTGGGACAGTTTTTCTTAAAAATAATTTAAAAATTGTGTAATAAATATTTTGATAAATGAAAAATTGGGATTATGTAATTAACATATATCTTAAGAGATATAAATTAAGATATAAAAAAGTCAGTTGTTTTCAGCATAGATAAGTGAAAGTAGTGAGTGATGATATTCTTTAGTTTAGGTTTCACCAACATATGTTGTAGTATTGTATGTGTTTCTTAGGGTTGGAAATTCAAAAGCATAAATGTTTTTTTGAAAAATTTAAAATTTACCTAAGTGTGTTTATTTTTGTGTATAGTAAACACTATTTAAGTGTAATTTGATTTTATAACATGGTTAGTATAGTCAATTTAGTTTAGGGTTTAGGGTCTGGACGACTTATAATTAAGTCGTCTAGTAAATATATTTAATAAGGCAGACGACTTAGTCGGATGTATAGTATCAACAGACGACTTAATAATAAATCGTCCAAACCGGATTTTACCAAATTACTTTTAAACCTAACCGTATTTTTTACCGGACATATATAAGATGTTTTTTTTTTACTCACTTTTTCGCGAAACTCAGAAAACCCTAACGCCGTTTCTCTCAAAGGTGATTTCGAGGAGATTTCGATCCGATACAAGACCAAGGTAAATCGAAGGCTTCTCTTGCAGATTTATGGGTATGGATGTTGTTTTCCTTTACTTTTACCGTTTGGTTTTGTGTTTTCAATGATTTGGGGTAATTTTGGTTTCAAATTAGGGTTTCAAAAATTGGGGATTTCAATCGACAAGTTGTTTAGTTAGGTTGGATGTTGTTTTCCTCTCATTTTACGGTCATTTTAGGGTCGTCCACCTGAAAGTTCTACTGGAAGTCTTGGTAGACTTAATTATAAGTCTTCCAGGTGGACGACCCAGACGACTTAGAATTAAAATGTTTCCAATTCGTTTCTTGTTTGCAGATGGCGAGTCAGCATGAACCTCACTTCTTGAAGCCTCTGGTTCCTGGTTTCTACAGTGGCGTGGTATACACACGCTCTCTATTTCACCTCTGTTTATTTCCTTTGCTTATCTTCTCCTTTGTTGACTTGTAGACAATACCACTTGCCTTCTACACAAAACACATAGAAGGCACGCCGAACCAAGGAAAATGGACACTACGATCGGACGCTTCACACCAAACTTGGGAAGTTATACAAGAAGGAAGAAGACTCACCGATGGTTGGGAAGCCTTCGCCCAAGCACACTCCCTTTGCATCGGTGACATTCTCGTGTTCAAAAAGGAAGGAGACATGGTATTTCATGTGACTCCTTT